ACCTTTCCGTTGTTTAAACGGAAAAACCAGTTGATTTTCAACGGAAATATCCCTTTATTTACGGGAAATTTCCGGCAGCTGCCGATGACAAAACCTCCCGTTATATAACGGAAAAAACCCATTATATTTAAACAGAAAAATCCCTTTATTTACGGAAAAGTTCCGGCAGCTGCCGATGACAAAACCTCCCGTTATTTAACGGAAAAAATCCATTATATTTAAACGGAAATATCCCTTTATTTACGGAAACTTCCGTTTACATGCGATGGGTTTTTCCGTAAAATAACGGGAGGTTTTGTCATCGGCAGCTGCCGGAACTTTTCCGTAAAAAACGCGATATTTTTTTAACAGTGTAGCACCATCAGTTGTAATGCAGACTACAGCCGTTAAAAGACTTACGTTAAACATGTCTAATTTTTTAATGAGTAGTTTAAGGCAATCGTTTGAGTTGTGTGATCCTAACATTCTCCGCAATCCAAGATTAATAAACCCTTTTTTAAAGTGAAGATTTATATTATATCTCCTGCCATGTTTCGAATATTCGTCCAAATCTATACTAAACTTACTGTTTTTTTCTTTTATTTTAAGTATCTTTGTTTTATTTTCTTCGACTATTTCCATATAATATTCATGACATCTGTTTTTGATTTTGGTAGAGTGTACCCTTTATCACGAAAAAACTCACAATTTTGATCCAATTTAGTTATTGCACTTATAGTAAACCCATTAGTAGCAGCAAAACGAGCCAATCGCTCACCTAATGAAACTTTTTTTGTCATAGAATCGACTGTTAGTTGAACACAACGTTTTTCATTTGATGTTTCGTCTTCCTTATTTAAAATTATGTTGTGAATTTTTTCTAAGTACCACCTTTGCATAATAATACCTTTAGACAATGTTTACATTGTGCCTCGTTTGAATTTTTAGAATCAAAATAACTTCAAACTTTGGGAATTTTCGGAATTAAAGGCATTTTTTTTTAATTTCAAATTTGCTGTCATAAATTTCAATACGTAAAAACTATAAATAAACATTACTTCTTATGGTCCGGAAAACAAAACACTTTAGATTTTGGCGGGAAAGTTAGAAAATGTATGTTCGATCCCGGAAAAAATTTCCCGGGACTTCGGGAATTTAAATTATTATTTTTCCCGGGAAACTCCCGGTAAAGAATTCCCGGGAAGAATCCCTAGAAATAACTAAATATGATTTAATTTAGGTAAGGTAAAGTTTTCAAGACTTGAAGTTCTCATATTTCTCCTTTATTCATTCTTATCTTAATTACGCTAATATTGCTTGATGTAGTACCAATAACCATAAATTAAAAAAAACTTTAATATGCAAAAACATGCAATCAGAATTATATTCAATGAAAGCCGTTATACACCCTCCTAACCTTTACTTACTAAGTTAAATATACTAAATACCTACCGAATAAATCATCTTCTAATTTTTATGCTCAAACTTTATATATATATATATATATATATATATATATATATATATATATATATATATATATATATATATATATATATATATATATGTATATATATATATATATATATATATATATATATATATATATATATATATATATGTATATATATATATATATATATGTATATATATATATATATATATATATATATATATATATATATATATATGTATATATATATATATATATATATATATATATATATATAAGATATATACATATTCACAACTACTTGTTAATTACAATTTTTTTACACATCGTAATATAAGGAAAATATACTTTCGTTACTTTCGTTATATATATATATGTGTATATATATATATATCGAAATATATATATTTCGTTACTTTCGTTATATATATATATATATATGTGTATATATATATATATATATATATATATATATATATATATATATATATATATATATATATATATATATATAGAGAGAGAGAGAGAGAGAGAGAGATTGTAGATTGTACTATATATCTTGTTAGTAAAATTTAAAAAAAAATTATTTAAAAAACTTTAATCCGTTATTCAGAACAAATCAAATTAAATACTTAACAAGATATTCAAATAACACCTACATCAAACCCAAAAGTTATTTTGCGGCAACTGAGTTTTCGATTTCAATTAGAGGACTAATGGCTTAAAATAATATACTTACAACTGAACTTAAAACTTTAACAATGTTTAATGAGTTTAAGGCAAAACTTTGACAGTTATTACCAAAGAATGATATGCCATAAAACTCTTTATGAAATTGCAATATACCTTTATGATTGATCTATCACATAAATGAAAGTCTATTCATTTTAGGAAAAATTTAGTTAAATGCACTTTGTAGCTTTTTAAATTAATTTGTGTCTTTGATTAATATGTATTGTTATTATTTCTTCTAACACCTGCTACCTACATCTTATTAGTAACTTACGGAATTTATTTATTTACACGGCAAATAAAATTAAAAAAAAAATTGCTTTGTCATTTCTAAAATATAGATATGAATAGGGTGAATCTCTAAAAAAATCTGTACCAATTTGTACAAAAAAGACTTAGATCCAAGCACTCCTCATGTCATTTAACGCATGATTTTACAGAATAATACATAATACATATACTCATTCAGTGCAAAAACAAAGTTACTCCTCGAAGGTTACTCCTTACATTTTGCTCATTACATGAAGTGAAAATAATTAAACGTATTGGTAAATAATTGCAGGAGCATATTCCTGTTCCAAATAATTGGTGCGGCAAACACAGAAGCCAGGATGGTAACTGAAAACATTGGATACCAAAATGTTGCTTACATCCATTCTTTTCCAAAGCAAACATCTTATTACATTAGAATAAAAATAAATGGTATTTATCTCCCAAGTTAAATATGCTAAAAATTCCCTAATAGAAAGAGTATGAACCTGCTATTTGCAGCAGTTTGGAAAACAGGTAAAATAAACTAAAGTCAATAATTGCTGTCTAACTTTACCAAATAATGACATCCAACTGTATTCTGGACCAAAACCTAAGAAGTAAAAAACTTGAAGTCAAATATGTTCTACCTAACTGTATTTGGTTCTACGATGTCTTCAAGCGCTAAGTTGCAAAAGACGGTAGCTCACATTCACAGACTAAAAATTATTTTTTAAAGTGATTTAACGTAAATAATAAAAAACTAATTTATAATTTGTTATTTCTAGTATTCTTTTATTAGATTTTAACAAAAATAACTACAGGCTAGTAAAGAAATTTATAATGAAATTTAACATAATAAATAAATATAGAACTTACGAAACTTTTTTTTTTTTTTTTTTTTTGTTTTAATAGTAAAAAATTTAACTTCATCTGTTTTGTGGAAAAACGAAAATGCTCCGTGATTTTATTTTATTGTTGTTAGTATTGATGATGCAAAAGATAAATTTGCAAAAAAACATACATTTTATACTAAGCTACTTTACACCTGTAAAAAAAACTGCGAGAATTTAGTTAAAGTTTATCAGTTTTCTCCTTCTCCTAAACAATTTGCAAAAGTGTAGTTTTATCAATTTTGCACAGAAGCTTTTAATTATTATCAGAGAAGCTTTCCTACCCAATGAATTTATACTTTTAATATATTTTTAAAATTCTAATAGAAGTTTTGAGAAAAAATATTTTAAAAACAAAAAGTTATTTCATTATTTAACAAAATCTGTCTGCAGGTAGATTTACTCTGTTTTATATATTATTGGGTTAATTGACAATTTTTTATAAATAAACATAATTATTTTTTTTTAATTTATATATATTTAATAAATAAAACAATTTATAAATCTAATAATTGGAAAAAATATTCTGTAAACTCAATGAGTGGTCAAATATAAACTGCAATACTTATATCCGTATCTGCTAATAAATCAAAATGTTGTTTTTACGGCTTTTTCTTAAATAACATAGAACTAAATGTTTATTCTTAACATTTCATTTAATTAACTTTTTAATTTTTTCTTTTGAAAAACTAAGCTTTTTTTGATGTTCAAGTGTACTTCTATTGGTTCAAATAAAGTGTACTTCTACTGGTTCAAATAAAGTGTACTTCTATTGGTTCAAATAAAGTGTACTTCTATTGGTTCAAATAAAGTGTACTTCTATTGGTTCAAATAAAGTGTTAAAGAGCAATACTTGAAACATTTAAATCATTTACACTTTTTAAAAGTTATATGTGTGTTTGTGTGTGTGTTGTGTATGTGCTTGTATATACACTACCGGTCAAAAGTTATAAGTGTGTTTGTGTGTGTGTTGTGTATGTGCTTGTATATACACTACCGGTCAAAAGTTTGGGTTCACTTGATAAATTGAATAATATGCAGACAAAAAAAAAAAAAAAAAGATTTTTCTTAAAGTATGTATTTTTTATATTGTTTACAATACAATAATTATACTTTTAGCAAAACCTTGCAGTATATTTTCTTTTGTTTATCTATGAACAAGAAATGATGATAAACATATACTATATGATCACAAATGTGTAAATATTTTTATAATCAAAACGTCTTAATAAATGCTTAAAACTGTTTACACTAGTTTTGAATAGAAGGAGGTTCAATTTCAGAAGTGAACCCAAACTTTTGACCTATAGCGTATATGGGAAAGAGAGACTTGCGTTACATTTTGTTTCATCTTTATGCGAAGGCTGGGACAAAGTGCCTATCCAAAAAAAGTTACCCAAACCAAATAAAGGTCTTTGCACAATAAAATTAGGATAATTCTTGATGTTGTAATTAAAAAAAAGCTATAATACGACAAAATATAACTTATTTTTACATATATACTTTTTGTACATATACAGCTTATATACATATTACATATTAATTATTTACTCTACCTCTCTTTTCCCTAAATTGAATAAAAAATGTTTTTAAAATTTAAATATCAGGAAACATAACCTTATGAGTTACTATTATTAATAAATTTTAATTTTGCCAAACATAATTTAATAAAAATAAAAATAAAACAAAATTACCTGATAAGATTTTTTGCCACACTTATATAGATAACCTTCTTTAATAACTGAATCCATTTAAATTCAGTAAAGTTATAGTACATAATCTAGTAGAGCTATAGTACATAAACTAAATTCAACATATAGAAAAAAAAAAAATCATTTACGCATAAAACGAAAGTCTTAACAAAATCAATATACAGTATTAAAAAATTTTTGGTGTTATTTTTAACAGTCTGTTGTTTGTTTTTGAGCGCTAGTATTTACTTTGCCGGTATTTTGTAGACATTAAAGTACAAAGCATTTTTATGTACTGAAATTAAATGAATAAAACCTCATTATCTGATAGCAAAATTGCAAGAAAAAAAGGAAAAAAACATAGTCCCCGCATTTCTACCAATATTTTAGATTGTGCTTAAATCTAAAAAATGATTTTAAATGGTATATAACATGTTTAATTGCAAATTAAGACCTTTGCTGCTAAAGACAACTTCTACTGGTAAAAGTTTATTCTACGTCACTGTTTCCGTCCGAAATTCTTTGGCCAACAGCTCAACTAGCAGTTTTTTTTTTTTGTGTGCGTGTATGTGAGTCATTTAGAATGCTTGAAATGGTTTTGATTTCAGATAAACACAAGGTCAGTGATCGATCCAAGAGATGTGGTGGGGGCTTATGCATCCCCCTCACCAGAATCTGAAAGTCCTAAAATATCTTAGAAATTGGGGATCTTTTTTCTTTTCTATTTGAAGACTAAAATATGGTACAAAATACAAAAATATTTCAATATCTAGCCCGCTACCCCTCACACACATACACACACCAAATAAGCAATAGTTTTTTTACTTTATTGCCACTTGTCAATCTACTCCTACCCTAGCTATTCCGGTTGCGTTATTTCTAATTAATCTTTATAACTTATCACTGAAGTATTTACATAATAATTTTATTTTTACCTCTAATTTTATTACTGGGTATAAAAATGATGGGATATTTTATTTAAAATGAGATAATGCTTATTAATAAATTTTCAAAATCATCTCTTAATATCGGTCACTTTATTAATTCAATTTTCTATTGTTGACGAAACAGTTAAGTTTCGATGAAATTTTATTATTTGCCAACGATTTATTGAAGCACGGAATTGATTAAAGCACGAGGTTCATTAAAACAACAATTCCAGCTATTGTAAATATTGTCATAAAGCGCGAGACGTTTTGCTTTTTCACTTAAATCCGTAAGTGACCAAAGTTATTTTGAAACTTCATTAATTTTAGTAAAAATAAAAGGTGCCATTTTTTCCCCGAACACACTTACTTTGCTAATTCTCAATTATAAAATGGTTTATATGATCATTTAAGCTTAATAATTTTCTTATTTTAAAATTTAATATCGTGTATGATTTGAAATTTGTTGTATTTAAAGCAAAATATTCAAGTAAATTGCAAACAGTACCATTTAATGGATATTGTTAACACAGTCTCAAAAATATTATATATTTAAAAAAAGTTTGTAAAATCCGATTTTAAAATGCTTTTTTGAAAACATTCTTGAACAACCTATACAGAAAAGAAAAGTTTCTTAAAGTTAATTATTAGAAGAGTGTGCATATATTGAATAATATCCAAGGATAGGCGCATTAGAGTGAAAATATATCAATTATTTAGCTTAAGGATAGACGTAAACACAGCCGGCATGTGGTCCTAAAAATATGTCTTTTGAATGTTCAAAAGACGTTTTTTGTGACCAAATACCGGCTGGGAAGTGTATATACAACTAAAGGTTTTGCTGTGAGTAGGCAGTCGGATAATATAAATGGTTTTAAGCTTCCATTCGTCCTTTGTAAGTTAAAAACACTTCAGATTTTATGCGGTAAATGGGAATTTAGGCGTACTTTTGGTTTACGTTTTTTTTTGCCAACCTCTGTTAAACTATTCTGTTACGTTACAGAACGTGACTTAACATACTTCAAGTGCGCATTTTCTTAATTTTAAATGTAAGCTACTTTTTATTCAAAATTAATTTTTTCCGAATGCTTCTATTAACTCGTCTCTCTCTGTTAATCTTTCTGTTAACATAAAATCCTGATTTTCTTCAAATTTTCACAATATTTTCTAATTAGTTTTGCAATAAGTCATTTAATGATTTTAATTTAATTGCAAACTACTAACTTACTAATTTAATTAATTTTAATTAATTTAAACTTTTTTTTTTTTTAATTTTAATTAAGTTTTTTTTTTTAATTTTAATTAAGTTTAACTTTTAATTTTAATTAAGAACTAGTTTAGTTAATTTTAATTAAGTTTTATATATAAGAAGAAGAATAATAATTTTTATATGCAATTAGCAAAACTTCATGAAAAATAAATTTAACTGCAATATAGTTTTAATATCATATAAAAGCATTTAGGTTTTAATAATTCGTTTGTAAACCTTTAAAAGATTTTACTTACAAGTTTTAAATAAATATAATTGTTTAAATAAAAGTATTTATACTTTTTAGTACATTTAAACTTAATTACAGAAATAGGTATTTTTGGTGTATCCATTCATTTGTAGCATTTGCAACACTAAACCAGTGTTTATGATGCTAAAAAATTAAAAAAAGACTATAATAAGACAATTATTAAATAAATATTACAAAGTAGGCTCCTGTCCGTCTGACTGGCTCTTTTTCTTTCAGAGAGCCTTTTAGAAAATAAATTTTTAGCGCTTTTTAATTGCGGTTATCTACCACACGACGTTTTTATTCGGATATAAAGAATTTTTCAAATTAAACACCGGATATAAAAACGATTTTGACGCAAAGGAAAATCTAGTTCGGTAAAACAAAATTATAGGTTTTATCTAACAAAAACAAAATTAAAATTAAAGATTAATAGCATTTACTAATTTTAAAACAAATAGTTTTATTGTATAAACTAAATAACGTTATTGTTTGTTAAACAAATTAAGTTTAAAATATACGCGTATAATTTTCTTCATGTAACTGTAACTCTTCTGAAAAGAAGTCTTTGTCTTCTTTTCAGAAGAGTTACTGTTTCACGTTTTGCCAGACAAACTGCATATACAAGTATATAAGGGAAAGCATTAAGTTGCTCGCTTTTTCACTTTTTCAAAATAATTGTCTTTCTTTTTAAAATCTATTTGGAGCACAAAATTTAATTAACGGTCTCACAAACACTTTTATTGTATTTTAACTAAATTTTATTTTTAGATTTTATCTAAAACTACATTTTCTTTAATTAGAGATTTTGTCATTTGTTTTAACCACGTTCAAAATTTACTTTTAATCCAAGTAGCACAATTTAATTATTCCAACGTTGACTGAACGCTTTTCTTGTTGTTAGGCTAACGAAGCATTGTAGTTGGCCTTATTTTGGCATTGCACTGGTATATGGCATTGGCTGAAGATCGGGCTTGTTGTAGTATTTAATGATGCCTTACAGTTGACAAACAAGGATAGTTTGTAGGAAAATGTTTTCATTATACTTGTTTTACCATGTTGGCGCTGCACATACGACGTTCTGTTGGTCTAACTTAATTTTTGTATTGAACGTTTACGGAAATTATCGCCGACCCGACAAAAAACGAAGAGAAATTAAAAATTAAAAAAGAGTATTAAAACTAGTTATTTAATAAAACCATAACTTTTCAGCATTAACTATTTAGGGCAGGATTGAACAAGATGCCGTCTTGGATCAAAAAGCTTATGCAGTTTTGTTAAACTTCTTTATCTTATTATTCACACTTTATCATATTATCCATACTATTAAAAAGGGCTTAACAGGAAAAAAAGTTTTAAACCTTGTATATATTTGTTTTTGATCAACTTACATTTTATTAAACGTAACTCCAATATAAACAGATACTACAATGAGATTTTGTGAAACTGAAATTCAAACAGTGAAACTGAATCGACAAGAAGATCTGGTCTTCTGCAAATTTCACGCATTTTTGTAATAATTTTGCTCTCAAAATTGTAAAGATAAAAAAACGACAAAAATAAATAAAAATAAATAAATAATGCAATCAAGGAAAAATAATGCTGATGTAATCTGTAATATTTTAAAGTAGCGAAAAACTATTTCTCTTTTATGTCATTTAAAATTAAAGTAAAAAAAAAAAGTATGCGCAGTTAAAAAAAAAAATCAATTATCATTATTAAAATAATGTTATATAATGTTATATAAAAATTAAATAGAAGATTATGAAAGTGTTTAATTGAAATTGTGTGTAAGTGTGCAAATAATTTGGCACCAAATTGTATATAAACTAAATTCATGCTTTTTATCCACTTGAAGTTGGTACAAATAAGTTAGAATAGACTTAATTTATTTAATGTAAAAATAAATAAAAATTGACTTAATTTATTTAATGCTCATTTTCCAGGATGTTGTTATATATGGAAGGAGTGCGCTAAAATCGTTTTTAAATGTTTCAAAACATAGTAAAAACTATATGAATTCGTTATTTAAAATCCAGGAAATTTCAAAAAGTGTTCAACAAAATAAGTTAAACTTGTTCCTTCGACTTCTTAATAACAAAACAACTGCAGACATTATCTTTTCACAACTGCAACACCCGTTATTTCAACATTCGCTTGTTAGTGATATTCAGGAACTATGCCATCTTCAGATATTAAATTTTCAAAACCTAATTCAAAATAAAAAGAAGGTAAAAATACCACTTTCTAAAAGTAAAATTCCTTCCGAAGTTGAACGAAACTTGAAGTATGCAATAGAGTGCTGGAATGCAAAAGAGCAAAGAGGAGTTTTCAAGCAAATTCTGGAAGAAAACGTTTTTAAGCAAAGTCATCCGAAATAACTTTCTTATTTTTTTCTTTTTACCTTGTAAATTGGGTGTTAAATAAATAAAATAATAATAATAATAGTGCTAAGATAAAATAGAGCTTAAACTAATGGACGGTGAAAACTTTTTTTTTAAAAGTTAACCAAGTAATTTTTTAAAACACTTTTGCATACATTTTGTACAAAAATACGTTGGATTTGCAATTAGGCCAAACGCCTTTTTTGCGTTTTTACTTTCTGTTTTAAATTTGGTTTTACTACACGTGAATTTCTTCATTGTTTTTGTATATAGTACTGAAAACAATAAATAATAAAATAGATCATTAATATAATCCCATTAATTAGATTTTATTATTGTACCTGTTCTTTAT